GTACATTTAGATGCGAAAAACTTTGGGGGAAAAAAATCTAAATGCAGGAACTATTCCCCGCCCACCCAGCGCTCTCCAGAACCCCGCTGTTACTTTCCAGACAACATCCAGAGCAAAGGCTCTGAAAACCTGGTCAGGGTGGGTTTTAGTTGCAACTCTGGCTTGGCTTTGGATACCCTTCTTCTCATCTTTCTGCTTTAGCCCTCCAGTTTTTGAGTGCTCAGGGACCTTTATCAAATGTTTCAAAAGTTATAGCCCCTTTCGGGCACGTCATTGAGCCCTGGCCTGCCTCGCAGCCTTCAGCGTGACGGAGACGTGGAGCTTGGACGTGCTCTCCAGCCTCGAGCTCAGGGAGGGTGAGAAGAGCAGCCTGCTTCTGGCTCTGTTTGTTTGTTCTTGTTGTGTCAGCTAGAAGGAACGCGATGCTTTTCCAGAGCTTTTAAATTTCAAAATTCTGCAAATTTTAGAGAGTCCTGCTAGGAGTATACAAGCCTCTTTTTTGTTCCTAATCTCTGAATTTGGGGAAGTGGTGTGAATGCCTTTTCACTGCTAAGAGTAGAAGGGCCACAGGTTTCATGTTACCATGTCCCCTTTTTCTGGTTCATATGCTGTGACATCAAGATAACTCCCAGATCAGTCATAATTCACTGACCCCTTAAAGGGCTCCACTGAAACATTGAACTAAAATAATCCGAACCTGTCTAAATCATTGAATAAGTGACTCCTTGTTGAGCACTAACGGTTTGCTGTCTTTAGTAGAGCGTAGCCTGCAAATGCCATCTTTCATGGCTCTTACACCTGACTGAGCCCCTTGCAATGCCCTTCGTTCGGAGAGAACACCTACTCCGACTGATACATAAAGACAAACGTTTCCCTATTATTTCAGTCTAATGAAGATTTTCAGCTTTTGAATTCCTCTCAAAGGAGCAGTCTAATGTAAAACTAGTGTTACAATGTTTACGACAGCACTGCTTTCTGAATGTTATTTCTGCTGTCCTGTTTTGTTGCTGCGTGTTGAATAATTCCCAACAAGCTCAGACAAGGTGGATGAGTAAATGTATGCCATTACTTTTCAGAAAAATATTTCACCTGAAAATACAGATCTTTACCCTTTTGTGTGTGTGTATTTATATTCCCGTAGTCTCTTGTTTTTTGTTGGTTTTTAATTAGCAGCCGTCTTGACTTTCATTCCTTTAGGCTGTCCTTCCAGCCGGTATACTCTATAGTAATCCCTGGAGAATTTAAGGTCTTTCTACCTGACATCTCAGTCATCATTAGGCTTCAGTGAAGGTGGATGAGCAGCCAAATTTTGGCTCCGTACAAAATGACTTTTCTAAAAACAGCTCTTCTTGTATTGATGTGAAGTCTTACTTTGACCTCAGTCGTCTTTTGTTTCTTTTTCCTTCGGTTGGTCAGCAAAAATTAGTGATGTTTTTCTCACCTGTTATATCTCCGATGTCTGTCTAGAAGATTTGCTGAAAGCGCTGGGTGTCCCGGGCGTATCTGAGTACGGCTTTCCAGAAACTCCTGTTCACAAGCCCTTGGCCCTCAGTGCAAATACACGTGCACTGCAGGGCCTTGCACAGATTTATTTGCAGTCCTCAAAACTTAGGGAAGTGTTTACGTTTGCCTTGCTTGAGGCGCTTGCCTTGGGCGTCTAGTCAATCAGTAAAATTGGTGGAAAGGGGAGGCCTTCTCCAGAGGTTGTGTTGGCGTTGGGGAGTAACTAGGATTCGTTGGATCAACTGATGGAGCTGGGAGATGAGCCTCCTGCTCTAAAGGACAGATCCTAAAGTTGAGCAGTAAGAGTCCATGCTTCTATTTTCATCGTTTAAAGACGATATCATGAACTTGCTTTCCTGCCATTACTTCATAGTTTGCAAAAGGCAAAGAGAACTAGTTCCTCAGTGGTTTAAGTCAGGTATTTTCAAGCGAGTGCACTTCAGCTGGGGACTTTGACCAGAAACAAGCCTCCTTCTCTCTGAAATACTGGAGAGTAGGCTTTTAATTTTACATTTCTTCCATAGCCATCATATGGAAGACTTAAATCAGACTAGCCACGCGTTGCTAAAATGCATGTATGAGTACTTGAACTTCCAATACAATTATAAGAGTAGGTATGAAATTTCCTGTAACAAGGGGAAATACTTCATTTTCGGCTAGAGCATTTTTCTCTTTGTGCGCCAAAAACTACAAAAGCAAATCATCTGAGCTATTGTATTAGTGTGCTGCAGTTATTGAGGAATATGTCTGCCTTTGTCCTTGAATATTGTGGTGAGTCAGGGCACAAAATGTCAGTGCAATTTCTTCAAGCTCTTGTCTATATTCAGGTGTATTTGCTAGGTGACCTCTCTGGCATTTTAGACCGAGGGCAGAGGCAGGATGTAGGCACGAGGGAGGAAAAACCACAAGCCCCCCCCCCCCCCCCCCAACACACACACTGTTCAGACTCTTTATGAAATACGAAAATAGTATGTTAAGGGTGGCTATTAGAAGGCTTGTTTGCAAAGTGCTGTCTCTTGATGGGAGAGCAGGAGTGCCTCATGAACATCTGAAGATCGTCGGGCTGCTTTTAAGAACAAAGGAGTTGCTGTATGAAAATAAGCCACACAGAAGTGCCTTTGAAAGCAAGCAGCGAGCTGTTACAGAACGCAGTATAGGGCAGTCAAACGTGGTGCGGCAGTCAAATGTGCTGCAGCATTCAAACCGGCGGGGTGGGTTAAATAGCAGTGGTTTGCTAGAGACTGCACAAAATTCATCGTCCTCTCAAATTTTTAAGTTAAGGTTACCATGCACTGCCACGATTATTTGAGTGGTTCCTATAGTGTTGCATAAGCTTGGTATCTCTGTAGGCTGTGCGATCGCAGGGTTTGTGACCGATTTTCCCCTTGTTGCTGTCATTTCGCTCGGGACCTGCTTTAAGATGCTGGAACACTTACGTTTTCATACACTTGAGTTTTGTAGAAACCAGTGGCCTGTTTTCACTACAGTGCTTTTTGTTTTTGTGTTTTAACCTTAATTTCCTGAAAAGAGATCATTTAGGCCCGTGGAGCTGCCATATCCGTTTGCAGGTGCCATGCTGCTGTGACCTGGTAACTCGTACTCTGACACCCTTTTGCTTCTCAAGACCTCCTCAGCTTTCAGCATGTGAAAGCAGTTGCTGCTTTTTCCCTCCCCTCTTTCCTAGCCCATCTGTTGCAGTATGTTTTTCCATATATTTTTGCAGCCCTCACCTGCGCCCTTTTCCGTGTCATTTGATCCCTCTAGTTCCCCCAGTTCTTCCCTCCCTTCAGCTCCCACGAGGGTCATCCAAGCCGTTCCTGACCTGTTGGCATCAGACTGTTTCCACGTGTTGACCCACGCAGCTCTTGAAAGCGTTGGATCTCGTCGCCGCTTCATTGGCGTACCTGTACCGTAAGCCATAAAGCACGCAAGCATTAAACTTTCTTTGCATCGTGATGCACGACAATCTAAGGGCAATATTTGGAAACTGGTGGCTTTTAGAGATTTTAGAGGAGTTGGTGATTAGACAGAAACACTTTGAACCCTCTCAGAGCTGGTGGTAATGGGCTTGTTTTTCCTGGTGAAATCACTTTTATGCTGAAACTGGTGGTGGTCTGCACAAAAGTTTTACGTTAGTTCAAGCTGCTAGGCCGGGGTAAAATTCTGCAGAACATACTGCACTAGAAATCGGGTTGGCTGGCCTGACAAAGGGACGAGCCCTAAGTGTGTGTCTCTCTTCTGGCTAGAAGGGCGTTACTGTTTTAACTGGAAAACCACCTGTGGTCCAAAGACTTGTTGCTTGGCAGTCTGTCTTATCTCGGCTTCTAGTATGTCACAAGAATACTTTCAAAATAGTTGGAAAAGTCTTAGCTGTGGTGTTTTCCTCAATGAAACAGTTAAACGGTTTGCTGTGCTCAAGACTGGCAGTTATTTTTACTGCTCTACTGAGGAAAGAGCGTTGGCCCAACTCAGAACGCCCTCCCCAAACGCATGTATCTAGGCAGAGTCGCGGTGGTTGCGAAGTACTTGTACTCTTCACTCTTAAAATAAATTCCTTGGGTCCCTGAATGCAGGAAGTTATATGATAATTTTTTTCTTTTAAGTGATGTACATGTTCTACTGCCCGTGAGACTCGCAGATTTTGTTTATACTTGTTGATGGACTTAGCCATAGCCTTGGTTTAATACCTCCACTGTAAAGCAAACTGGCTAGCGTTAATTTTCCAGAAAAATGTCATCTTTTATATGTATTAAAAGTGTTAACACTGTACATGCAAATCTGAGACTCTGGAGTGCAACATTTGAGGTATTTAGTAATGCTTGACATTTGGGGAAAGTAGGTTGGAGTGTTTTACACAGGAAATTGTGTGTGTCATGGGTACTGTGACCTGACTGATGGAGCTGTTACGCAAGACTGGGAAATGACAGGACCAAAAAAAAAAAAAAAAGGCAAAAAACTTGTTATGTACGTTGAACAAATGGCTGGTCCCAGTCGAGTGTTCCCTTCATCTTGTGAGACGTGATTTTCATTTGTTTGGGCCAGAGTTTAATTTTCTGTTATGGAGCAACACAAAGTATAAAGCTGCTGCTCTTGGAGAGATTTATGGAACTGTTCCTTTTTCTTCTCACCTTGGTGCCTCACTTCATACGGAAAATTTATTTCGGGTTTGGCTGTTGTTTCAGCTCTTGCCTTTCTTGGAAGCAAGACTGGGTGGTGATTACTGAATGGAGAAAAAACTCATGATGTAAATAAATATTTTTGTACAATGGGCATACTCTTCAATATCAAAATGACTGTATAGCATAAGTGCTTCCTCTCATGCTGTGGGGAACAGTCTCAGTGTCAAAGGTAGTTCTCTTATTCCGGCTTCTTAAAAGTCGCTTGAACATAGAACAGCAGAAACCCTAGTTTGAAAACAAGGCTTTGTGTTAAGCTGCTTATTAAAATGCATAAAAATGCACATAGCTATACGAATCTCTGCGTTTATTGTTTTGCAGGCACGATCCTGGTTGACAATATGCTGATCAAAGGGACAGCGGGAGGCCCTGACCCCACGATCGAACTCTCCTTAAAGGACAACGCAGATTACTGGGTGATCCTCGATCCCATCAGCCAGAGGTTATACCTAAACAGCACGGGCCGAATTCTGGACAGAGATGTAAGTTTTGGGGGTTCCCCCCCCCCCGCCCCGTAGACTTTATTTCCGAGTCTGTATGCGCTCGTGCACAAGGGTTGCTGGAGTATAATAGCTGCATCTATCTTCTGTCCCTAGGTGAACGCAAACGGAGTTAATTTGATCCTTTATTTGGGCTTATTGGGAGCACTCAGTAACTTGATAATGTGCAGATGCACACAACAATTACATATGGGTAAACACAACAATAAAGACCAAACAAAAAGAGAGATGTGTGGATTGACAGAAAAAATATATTGAAGCAAGCTTGACTGGTTTATTGCATTGGACGCTTCTGATACAATGTTTTCCTGCCCTTGCCAGGAAGGCGAAGCGCTGCTTAGCTCACACCCTGTGCCACTCGCTACTGGGGAGCCTGCTCTGGCTTTATTTATTGGTTTGTGAGACATGAGAGATAGCAAAGGAAGTATGTGACTGTTCCAGTTCCCTTTTAAAGCTGTTTGAAGGACAATGTGATGTTTTAGGATTTGGTGGGGTGGTTTTCTTATTTTTAATTTTTATAAAGGAGCTTAAAATGTGCATGGTATGCTTGTAAGTGTTCCTAACGGCTATAAAAAAATTTTGTCAGATGAAGTTGGTTTTTGTATTTTTTTTGTTCTGAGATTAAGAAACATAAAAGAAATGGGAGCCTTCTCATCCATGCTGATTTCTTTCAAGGGAAACACTTCTTAAAAATGAGATTTTTCTCGCAGTGTTGCACAATTGCTCCAGTTCAGCAGACGCTGAGAGGAGGAAAGTTGACGCGAAGCTGCCTGTAGTCAAACTGGAAAAGAGCGACGTAACAATCGGGAGCCCTCCCTGGGGTGCAGGGAAGGTTGTATCAGCTCTTGATTGATTAGTTTCTCTTCTCTTTGTGTTTTGAGATACATTCATTAGCGGCAGCAACAACATGCAAATTTATCCCTATTTCCATTTTTCAGTACAGAAAAGCAGCTAATTGAATTCAGCTGTTCTTAATTTAGTTTGCATCCGCAAAGTGTTCTCATCTGTAGTGCAGAGCTCTGCAGCACAAACCACAGCAGGATGGACGTGGTGGCAAGGGGGGAGATCTTGGTGCACCAGCAGAGAGGGGGCATGGCCCCAAGGCAAGGCGCTTGGCTGCTGTGGAGAAGACAGGCAGGTGCTGGAACAGGCCTGTGGTGGCTTTTCGTGTTTGTGTGTGTGCGTGTGTGTGTGTGTGTTGTTTTTTTAAGTCAGAGCAAAAAGGAAGAGGCTATAATGAGAGGTGAGGTTTCGGGACCACCTGAAGCAACGTGGGGTCGATTCTCCGTCAGCTCACGCGAGTCCGCATGTCTTCAGAAAACCAGCGAAACCCCTCTTAGATCAGAGCTAATTCTTTCTTCAAAGACCCTTTTAGTGGTGCCTCTCTGTATAGGAGCTTACTTGAAGCAATCTAGATGCTCTACTAAAGCAACCTTGTCAGATAATTTGATTTCCAAGATCAGTAACTAACCGAACTTCCAAATACTTTATTATGAGAGCGTATTGATGCTTTACAGTGGTCTTTGCAAGGAGTAGTAGACTCAAGTCACAAGGAAACGAGGGGTTGGTATACGTTTTCTTTATAACATGTAGGTAATCTTATCAGTGTTTTTTACACTGGTGATTAGGGGATTTACTGCCTTGTTTTTTTTACTATGAATTGTAACACTGGGGAAAGATTAATATTTATTAAAGATGTATTAAATACATTCTTAACCCTCTGATTGTAGAGCTGGGTAAAATTGCTCATTGTGGTGTGTGTGTGTGTGTGTGTGGTTTTCTTTTTTCTTATTTTTTTTTCTTCAATTTCCTGGGATATGAATAGGAAAATTGAGATTTAAGTTAATGGAAAAAGTTGGGTGTGAGCCCAACTGCACCTACCTTCTGCTGATGTCATATATGGTTGGTATACTTGGTTTCAATTAGTTTTTGAAAGTCGGCATCCAAAGAAAATGAACCGTCCTGGCAAAACTCAACCCACTAACAAGTGAAAGCGTGAAACTTAGGTCATGGCCTTTGTTAGTATGGTGTTTATCTAAAGGCTGTTTCCAGCCTTCAGAGCCAGAGCTATGCGAACCCTTAATACTCAAAATCACTTGGGATATATTTTTTATTTTGTTCTTTTTAAGGAAGAAAATAAATCATTTTTCTCATGTTTCAAGTTAAAACTATATGGAGCTTATTAGTAGCAATAGGGTTTGGGATTTCTTTTGGACTTGCAACCTAAAATCCAGTTTTTGATTATGAAGCAGAAATAGGAGCAGTCTAATTCCCAAATGGTATAGGTATGGTTGCATAACGTATTTCTGTATGCTCCTTTGCAGAGTATTGCCCGTTTACATCTCCGATGTGCTTACCTATCAACCCCCTCCTGATCCAGATAGCCAGATGTTATTCTTTTTTATTACTTTCCTGGAAGAGAATCTCCTTAGATTCCATTGTTGGTTTTTTTTTTTTTTCCTAAGAATGGCAATGCGTTTTTCCAAACAAAATCAGATAAAATTCCAAAGTTCTCCAAAACTTCAGTAGCTGGGAAAGATGAGTAGAGCTAAATCAGAACTGTAGGTAACAAACTACTAAAAGTTGTTTAGATAATATATCTTCAGTGTTCTAAACAGTGCGTTCCTATTTTGCCAGTATGTATTTACACTGAACTGTCTTGAAATACCAGATTTACCTGTGTGTGTTTAAAGATCTGATTTTTAAATCTAAGTACTGACCAGAAATTGCAAACGTGTGAACATATTGTTGGTCCTGTGCTGTGTCATATTTTAACAAAGGTGATAAACTGTTTTTGGCTTGTTCCTTTTAAAAAAAAAAAAAAAAAAAAGCCTTGCAAATTCAGAACTTCATATATCTGCGTATCTATTGTTACAACTGACTGGTTTTTTCTTGTACATTGCTAACAATTGTAGATGATATTGATAGGGTTTTAAATTCATCAACGATAGCCTAAAAACTCTTTAGATTTTTTGCAAAGAATGCTAACCTGAATGATAAATGAAGATTATAACACTACATTTTTAATTTAAGGTACTATTTGATATGTTCCTGCCTGTATGGGAAGTTCCGCTGATAAAAGTGGAACGACACCAGGCAGCTGCAGATTAGTATAGCAGAGGTGAACGGACTTTTAGTTAAAAGCTTATGCTATGCTTCATTGCAGAGAAATCTGCAGGTGGAACGGGGAAGAAGAGGTGTTTCATGTATGATCTCAACACCACTCTAAAAAACAAGCAAGCAAGCAAAAAACAAACCTTCTTTTCCCAAGGCTGCTCATTGCTTAAAAACTGAGTAGTATCAAAGCTGGAAAGGTAAAGAAAGCCCTGTGGTTCTAAAATCCATCGTAGCAAAACTGGAGAAAATATCAGTGAATCAAGGGATTGCAGTAATTAGAAGATGTTTAAGTATAATTATACAGAAATACCATTACGGTATAATTTTAGGTCTTAGATTCTCAGTGCAAAAACCTGTTTGTTTTTACTGTGTATAGCAGAGTACCTCATAGGCATCTTTAAATCACCTTTTTGAGCTGTTGTTTTCTTGACCACGATGAGGTTAATAAATATGGATTTGGGGGGTGGTGTGCTGCTGCTGCCTTCGCATGCTTGCTTGCTCTCCCTCTGAGTTAGATGCAAGATCTGAACGGGCTGTCAAAATTTCGCATGCCAGACTGGTACTTCAAATGTGTAAACTGGTGTAAACTGGCACTTGCTGCGATGGGTCAGCAGCGTGAATAAAAGCTGTGCTGGAACTCGACGTTTCTGTAGCAATATTTCTGAATTTCCATTTCAACCAGAGGTGCCTTTTCCTTTGCTCTTGATATAATTGTTTTATTAACTCAGGTAAGCAATAGTAGCCGTTAACGAGAAAAATACAAAACACCTTTTAACATCCGATACCAGTAGTTGTGTCGTGATTAGTCTCTGTGCTTAAGGTCTAATACTGCAATGGATTGTGTTGAGAGTTGATTCTGTTATTCCAAATACGTTCTTAGGTTCAGGCAGAGTCATCTGCGTACTCAGTACTGGGAGTAGTAATTGTATAAGTGTAGACTGTCACGATGACATGTATGCTCCAAGACTGAGAAACCTTTCCGGAGAGCCTCGCGCCATAGATGTTTTCATCGGGAGCATGCTCTCAAGAGCAGCTCCCTGGGGCTCGTCGTAACTCAGTGGAAGTGAATGTAATGAGTCTAGTATGTTGAGTTGTCCATGTTGAATAGAGGGGGGGGGGAAATCCAAACACTGGCTTTGCTCTGGGTGTAGCGATTGGCAGAAGGTATAGTTGCTTTGGCAGATTGAGTCAATACAAGAAGATGGGGCTTTTTTTTTTTATTTTCCCCCCGACCTACAGCTCCAGTCTTGACCTTTAGTCAAGCCTGTTCATCAGCATTTTGGAGCCGCTAAACCCTCACTAATCTGTTTAGCAGTCTTTCTGCTAACGTTTAGGTCCTTCAGATTCCCTAGGACCTTATACAAATGTCCTTAACTTAGGACCTTTGATACAGAAGGGGTGAATCTGTGCCAATGAGAGATTGCATTTGCGTATGAGATAATTTATGGTAAAAATGTGTATCTTCTATATTCATTCATCGTATTTGGGATATATTTATATCTGAATGATATTGTGTTAGTTGACAGGAGTAGAAACTGCTGGACTGTGGGTTATCTGCCCTTAGAGGTGACCGTGTTGTTCCTAAATTAGTCGGCAAACGTAATTGGTAGCTTATTGAGGTTATCTGTGACTTGACCTTTCAATTTAAATATTAACAAAAGTTAAAATGTATGACGTTTTCTAGGTGTCTTTAAACAATCAGGTGATGCTTAAAAGATAATGCAGTTTTATTGTTCTCGAGGAGAGCACGAAGGGCTAATTTTGTTGGGGCGTTGTAAATCCTGTTTTTTTTTTGCATCAGCACGCACAGCTGGCAGAGCTCAGACTGCAAAATACAGCTTTTTGAGACATGCAGGTCTACCTGAAATATTGCCAACGTGAGTTGTATTAAGGGCGTTCTCCAAGATGCTTTTTAATCCAGACGTAGCAGAGCATTAAATATGACACAGACGGGCTGATGATCAGACAGTGAAGCTGGACTGTATTAACGTCAGTGGGAAATTAAACTCTCCTGTTACTACGGTTCAGATTTTGACTCTGAGTTACGAAAACATGTTTTCACTTGCAGCCGCCAATGTCCATCCAGTCCATTGTGGTGCAAGTCCAGTGTGTTAACAAAAAAGTTGGCACCGTTATCAACCACGAAGTGCGGATCGTGGTGAGAGACAGGAACGATAACTCGCCTCGGTTCCAGCAGCGGCAGTACTATGTGGCGGTAAACGAGGTGAGAAACGGCTTGCTTTTTTTTTCCTTTTTTTCGTGTTTCTGTGGTATAGGTTCATTGCTGAGTGGCGCCTTTCCTTCCCTTTTCATTGTAAACCCCACAATCTCTCTCCTGTTTGTGTTGCCTTGGAGACATGCAGCGCAGGCCACGTACTTTACGTTTTTAGCGTATAAACCGCTCTGTCTTTTTCTTAATGAATGCAAAGACAAACGCGCTTTTCTTCAGGCTGCTTGTCATATCACAGAAGAAACTAGACCCTGAAGCCCTGTCCCAGTGAGTAAAGCATTGATTTGTGTTCAGTTTACAAAACGTTTGACTGCTTTGGGCGATGACATCAACAAAACTGAAGGTAAAACCAACGTATTTATGAAAAACAAATGCAGAGCAAATAGTTAAAAAGGTTTTTCTTAACAATATTGGAGTTTGGCAAAGTGCAGCTTTACTGTGTTGCTGTGTATCTCTGTTACAAGTCTGTGGACTGAAGTCTTTAGAATGGTTGGAGAGACAAGCGAGCTCAGTAAGAGAAAGCCTGAGACTGGAGAAGCTGTGGGTTGGACTTGTCTCTGTTACTGGATGGAAATGTTTTGATTCTCTCTTAAGCGGATGTAACTTGCCTCCTCTTGATAGCTACTTTTGTCTGATTCTGCTGTGGATTTAATAATTTGCAAATAACCAGTACAAAGGAGATGGGAAAGCGCAGATGGGTCTCTCCCCCCCTTTCCCCCCCCCCGAAGATTAAGATGGGAAGAATGATCAGGGAATTCCAGAAATTAAAGCTGCTACATACACTGTATGCATTGAGTCCTTGTTCTTTTTTGGGTGAAAGATCGTGATGGGTTTGATGGTATCTAGTTTTAATAAAACTGAATTGTTGTTTCGGAAAATTTTTCATAGTTATATGCATTTGGGAGGAGTGGATTTTCAACTTGTCTGTGATCTGTTAAAATCACTGCATTGCTTCAAGTGATCAAGGATGCCAAGTCCCTTGTCTTCGATTCCAATTTGAGAGTAAATTTAAGAACAATCTCATTTTTTACCAAAAAAAAAGATTATTGTTTCAGGGTCATTATCCGCTGATGAGTTTCACCTCACCATTTTAAGGGAAACGAACACTGGAGTTCTAAGGAAAAATTTTTCAGGTTTCCCTTGCCTGTAAAATGGACTTAGCAATCAAGACAGATGTGGTTTTACGTAAAGTGTTTAGCACTGGAAAAAAAAAAATTTTCATTGGTAAAATAAGTCTAAACTTTATTCGCTTAGGTCAAAAAGCAGTAGTAATTAAGCGTGCCTATCTTCTAACTGGGAAACTTTGTATGCGGGGAGGGGAAACAGATCTTGGATTGGGGCCACATCTGAACAGTGGCAGAAGGTGGGGAATTGTTTGAACCTCTCTTCCGTTTCCAGCAGCTCCAGCGGTTTGTGGTGACCTTGGCGCTGGAGCTTTTTTGAAGGATTGCTCCTGACCAGGTGCTAAGGGACAAAGTTTAATGCCAGGACATGGGGCCGTAGCTGACGTTCACTGTTAGATCTTCATTTATAGATGTTTTAAGCGCATGCTAAATTGACATGACATCTCTAAGGTGAACAAGAGAGTCCCAGAAACTGTGAGAGAACAGTGTATTCCATCCGCACGGAGCTTTTAAATGTTTCTACAGATGAAAATTTTCAACGCTCCTCTCCACTGGTGTTTCTGACTGCTTGAACTCGGAGGTCACAACGTGCTGTGCATATGAAGCCGATGAAGTCCTCCTCAGGACTTAGTCGGGCTTCAAAGTTGTTTTTAAGTTGGCCTTTACGGAGCGAGTGCAAATTCCTCTTGCAGGACCGTTTCTGATCCTGAAAACAGGCGGTCCAGATCAGTTCCAAGAGTGGTGTGGTTTTTGCGGTAAAACTGAAGGCAACTAAAACACTGGCATTGTAATACAGAGGAAATGAGAGTCCGCTATAATCAGCGACAAGTCCGAAAAGGCAGAGAGAAAAATGGACCAGTTAAAATAATTCACATTAAGAATTTTAGCAAAATGATTGAAGTATTTGTGGTCATGTATTTGCATTACTGCTGGGTGAAGCTGCAATGTTGTTCTTCCCACCAGCTGCAATCCTGATGTAATTAGCTCCTTTGTTTCATTTTTGTCACTGTTATGTTTATAACTTCTGACAGGGCACCGCTGTGCCCTTCAGCAGGACCCGGTGGGTTAATGTTCTCACTAATTAACAAAAGGGAGGATTAAAAAAAAGTTTGCAAAGGATCTCAGAGTTTCTTGAAGGTTTTACTGAGTGATTACATCTTTTAATGATAGTTTATTCTGCTACTAATTGGCAGTGTCTCCGGTGAATTGAACGGGAGGAAAGTGCTAGAATGAGTTCTTATTTTTTGATTGCCTCTGGTCTTGTGTTTTTACTTTCCTTGTAAACTGGAAAGTACGCAGTCTCGTCTTACATGCGTAATGTGAGACAAATCCAAGAGCAGGTAGATTTTATTATTTTACAGCTACCATGCATCCGAGCATCACAAATACCTCCTGTTTTTCTAGCCAGGAACTTCTGCCCCTGTGAATTTGTGAGGACTTCTTAATTACTGAGATGTTTTGCTGGATTCTGCTTGGCAATATATCCTGCCAGTATCTCTGGCCGTGCTGCGCGTGACCTCGGAGCGCGTGCGTTGTGCCTTTATAATCCCGTTACAGGCACTGGCGCTTACGAGAAGCGTCAGGTAGACTTTCTCCTCCTGCCACTTAATCTGCCTGCACGTAGGTAGCCAGCGTTGGATTTACAACTCGCGTGCCTGACCGCGTGCGCTTTGGGCGCGTCGTGTTTCCTCAAAGCATTGGGTTTCCTGTACGTGTGGTATGCGTTACATACGCACCTGCTTTTTTCTAAGGAAATCCCGGGCAAAAATGTCAGCCTTGCAATGGATTTTTGTAGGGAGTGAAATCTAGGACGAAAACTTCTCCAGTAGTCAAATCTGTTTTATAATTACAGGCAGCCCGTGACAGAAGCAAAATAATTGCAGTGGGACTTGATTTTATTAGACAGTTCTTCAATATCGGATATGTCAAGGGGGAAATCATAGCTTAAAGAAGTCGAATGCTTTTTATGTGAAATCTTTCTATAGTTGAATTGTCCACAACACTTTGAAATTAATTTACGGGAGAAACAGAGGATAATTGTAATATCAATATAAATCTCAGTTTCATTAATCTCTTCTCCATTTTCACGTTGAGATGTAGGCTTAAAGTTAAGCTCATATTTTTCTAGAAAGCCCAGATGAAGTTGGACTGGGAAGGTGGCGTCTGTCTTGGTTCGCAGTAGCCCAGTGTAGGCGAAGAGCGTAAAGACAAGGAAACAGGAAGTGGTGCTTTCCGAGTAAAACTGCGTGCCTTAAGGCAAATATCCCAAATCCCTAGAAAAAAGTGTGCATTTACTAATATTGTAACTATGTAATCTCTTTTATGAAAAACTCACAGTTCCTTCCTTCCTTATGCAAGGTGTTTCATGGCCTCTTATATGACGTTCTACTGCACAGGTTATAATAACGGTATTTGCTCCTACAGCCTTGTTTAGATGTGAAGAAAAGATTTTTCTGTGCTGTGACACTGATGAGGAAAAGACAGTGCTTTTAAGGGAATCTGAAATAACGGTTTGAGGTGGGATTTGGGTCTGTTCTACATGTTGTTAAATCATGCTTAGGAAACTCTCTTCTCTCCTTTAGCTACCTGCGTGCATACAGGACGTTTGCAAAAGGTGACCCAGGATTCAACTGTGTAGAGAAGTTAATGTTCCCTTCCAGTGCAGGCTTGGTTCGAAAATGGCTTTTGCATCTAATATGAAAATGGTCATTATGTGTTTATTGAGCACATTTCTTTTTTAGGAGGCTCTTAAATATTCTATTGAAAGTGCAGGCTTTTCATATGTGCTTGCAGCACAACTGTTCCTCTAATGTACTTGCTAAAGGTTGATGGACTTTGCTTGACTTGGATGAGCTTTGGGTGGCAGTGCTGGTGTTTGTAATTAAAGTACAATTAAAATGACTTTTCCAGTTCAACTTTGTAGTTGATAGTAGGAATTAAAATGTCTCTTTTTCCAAATTAATTGTACCTGCTCTTTGAGCAAAGTATGATAATCTGAGCATTTACAAATGAATTAGCTAGTGTGAGTTAAGATTAATAGGAAAAAGAAACTTAAATCTTCATTTATATATGTACATATATATATAAAAAATGCACACTGTGTACTATATGTATATGTTTTATACGTACTCTGCACACCAGTCCTCTCTGGTCCTAAACAATGACAGCAAGTGGCGACTGCAGACTGAGAATATCCATGTGCTTAAAATTAATTGGCATTTTGTGCATAAGCTGTAGTTGAGAAAATGAAGCTGTAATTAAACTATTGACTATTTACAGTCGCCTGGGTTTTAAGATAGATTTGGGAAACAATTCTTAAGCAGTGCTATTTTGTCATCTCAAGTAACTAAGCTAATTATCACTTTAAGGCTGCAGCTACTACAGAAACAGCAGCGCAGAGGCTTTACAAATGCCAAGACTGGCTGTTTTCATTTATATCTTAAATGGCCCAGTGCCACTGCTGGTTGGGCAGCGGGGCTTGCCGGGCTGCCTCTGGGCCCTTTTGCTGCCTTAGCCCACGGCAGCCCGGCGAGCTGGGAGCCGCAAAGGTGCCGAAAGCAGAGGTGCTCCTTTTCAGGAGCAAAGCTTTCCCTTTCCCCTTTCTCGCTCTTTTTCATAATGCAGTATTTTGAGTCTGTTGGCCAAAAGCAAATCTGAATGCTACCCACAGGCTTACGAAGCTCCCTCATCAAAGTAAAAATATGTTATTTAAGGTTGATGCTAAATATTTTCTAATCTTTAGAAATGCTGTGCAGGGCTATTTGCTTTTGTTTCTTGTTTTACGTCTTTTTATTTATGTCAAAATGTCACCGAAGTATTCATGCAGAAAAAATTCGCAATGAAAATGATATTAGCCTAGGGTTAAATTTG